AGCTGTTTGTTGGATCAGCGCGGCAGCCATGTAAATTTAAATGAAGCCGCGATTATTTAAATTGCGGCTTCATTTCCCTTTGCCAAGCAAACAAATCTACATGGCTCCGTCGACGGAGCCATGTAGTTTAGATGTACCTTTGGAGAGAAGACAAGGTTCTCCCAATATTTACCCCATTATCTAGGATGTAGTTGCTTGGACAGAGTAGGGGTAACATTCTTTTTATTTGCACACCGTCCTCTGTTGAGGTGTCATTATCAGGGTCACAGTCTGTCAGGGTCACACCTTGCTCAAATATTATTTTGGACTGTCTACAGATTCAGACTCCATTGGTATATGCTGAATTCATGTTCTCAATATGTTATTTCAAAACATGAGGACTAGAAACATTTTTTTTAAAAGCTGAGATTCTGATGTAGTCAAATGATTCATAAACTGGGCCCAGGCCTCTAGTGCCAGACTTTAATCTGGCACTGATGCAGGCCCAGAACCCAAGGTCTTTGTTTAGGACTGGCTTGTGCTGCCAGAATCTACCTGAAAGGAACACACTGCATAAAGGGAGGGGTCTGTTAGATTCCACGACACTATCTTCCCCAGCCCCTTTCAAGAACTCTTGTAGGACTGTGGTCAGCACAGAGAGAGTAGGCAGAGACAGAGTGGGCCAGAGGCAAGCAGTTTGTGTGCCCATAGAGATCTATCTGGGACATGCATTATCCCCTAATCAGCCCCACTGAGTTTACCATGGGAGGGCATAGTAATCTAGCTCCAAAAATATATTCCCTTGTCTTTAGGGCAACACACATAGGCTATGTCTACACAGGCATGATTTTCCGGAAATGCTTTTAACGGAAAAGTTTTCCGTTAAAAGCATTTTTGGAAAAGCGCGTCTAGATTGGCCACGGACGCTTTTCCGCAAAAAAGCCCCGATTGCCATTTTCACGATCAGGGCTTTTTTTCGGACACAAATCTCTGCTGTCTACACTGGCCCTTTTGTGCAAAAGTTTTTCGGAAAAAGACTTTTGCTAGAACGGGAGCAGCATAGTATTTCCGCAAAAGCACTGCAGCTGGCAAGTTTTTCCGCAAAAGCAGATGATTTTGCGGAAAAGCTTGCCAGTCTAGACACAGCCATATGGTTCTGCTTCTATCTCTGGGTGTACTAGAGCCTAGAATCCTCCTTCCAGGAAATGACTAGTATCTACCTTCCCACTGCCTTTCCCAGCAGTCTCCTAACGTTCCTTTCTCAGTGGCCAGCTTCCTGGCTTTATATCATCCTGTGTGTTCCTTCACATGCAAGCCTCTCCCCTGTTTGCAACCTAATTATGTGTGTGAGGATCTCACCTCATCATGCTTTCAGACAGTTCTCATATGAATGTTCTCCACATTTACCATATCTTGTTTTCCTCTTGCAGATATCCACCACATACCTTATCATTGACAATTATAACATTTCAAAGGGAATGGGATATATGATTTAACCCATAAGGGTAGATATAGAGGCAACTGGTGAGGGGAGTGCAATTGGCCACCTGACCTCCCCAGCCCAGGTTAGGTCCGGGACAACCCTCCTAACATAAGGAAGATTACAGTGTGGCATGGATGAATGGGCTAAAAAGGTGGCTAGAAAGCTGGCTTGATTATTGGACCTACAGGATAGCGATCAATGTCTAGTTGGCAGACAGTATCAAGCAGAGTGCCCCAGGGGTTGTTTTTTCAACATCTTCATTTAATGAAACAAAAAAACAGGCCTATGTAGCACTTTAAAGACTAACAAGATGGTTTATTAGGTGATGAGCTTTCTGGGCCAGACCCACTTCCTCAGATCAAATAGTGGAAGAAAATTGTCACAACCATATAATCATTTCATGATCTGGATGATGGGATGGGTTTCCACCTTCAGCAAGTTTGTGGATGACACTAGGCTGATCTTTTGCGGGAAGAGGGTGCGGTCACTGGCTTTCCAAGAGCCGGATGAGTTGCCTGGGGAGCTGGTGAAATCACCATCCTTAGCTGTTTCTAAGGCCAGGCTTGACAAAGCCCTGGCTGGGACGGTTTAGGTGGGGTTAGTCCTGTTTGGAGAAGAGCGTTGGACGAGATGACCTGTGACGGGGGGGCTGTGAGAAGCCCTGCAGA